TTCGCACCTGTTGAAATGTGAAGCAGCATTTTTAGTTTGATGCACTTGTTCGCAAATGCATACATGTGCTTCGCTCCCAAGACGTTAGTGTCAAAAGCTACATCGTATCTGTAAACCCATAACGCTTTGATCAAATATCTAAAAAGCATGTTTTAATTTTTTCTTTTATTGGTAACAACATGCATGTATGCTTTTATTTTTTGCGAGATAACAACATGTATGATTTCACAGATTCGTGGTAATTAACCTTTCATAGAAATTCGTAGTTGCAGCACCATTCACGATGATGTCCATATTCTTGGACAGTTCTTTCAGCTTGGCAGTGTCTAGTCCAAAATCCTCACAGATAACGTCTCCTGCCAGAGGGCACACCTTTTCTTGGATGAAATCTCCGAATCCATTGCCATACTTTTCTCTGAGAACTTGGAAGATTTCCCTCCGTGTTACCTGCAGATAACGAATTGATGTTTGCAGTTTTTTCGTGTACTTCAATTTTCCCATGTTCGGTTTGCCTGTTGAACTGTTATCACTTTTACCACATGCATGTTGGACGTACTGTCATACTATGCATCTCTGAATTATTCTCTGAGGAGTACTTCTCAGAAATGGAAGTTTCTACTTGTTAGCCCATTACACTTTCAAGAAAGCAGCTCGTGTCGGCCATCCCCATCCCCGACTCTCCACTCCACTGTGCACACCGTCCCGGGCCCTTTCCTCTACTCTCCTCGACCTCACGATGGGCAGGTCCGACGGCAGCGGCTGATTATCAGCGTTGGACGCTCGAGGGAGCTCTAGATCATGGTGCCGCTGCCCATGTTCTCCGAGGCCATCATCGTCCACCGTAGCGTCGGTGAAGGAGGAGACGAGGAGGTGGTGCTCTCCTCTAGTACGAATAGAAGCCGAAATGGCTAGAAATCTGTCAGCTGACTTTTTCATTTGTGGTCAGTCGATTTGTCAACCATTGAATGCGAAATCAAAGGCCCAGGATGCTTCTTCGACCTCCATCTGCCCTTGAGCCACCAACCACCACCGGCCGAACCGCTGGTCCCCACCGCTCGCGGCCGGCGGCGCTCCTGCGCCGCTTGTTGGCAACAATCTAGCCGGCAATTCGATTTGTCGTGGTGCGAGCGAATGAGTCGACAAGGAGTGAATCATCAACAAGTCAAGACCGGAGAAGAACAGAAGACAAAGTGTCAAGATTAGGGAGAGATTGTTAGAGATAATCTTGTCTAGTTTTGCAAACTAATTAGTACCGTAGCAACGTATGTCCTGTTGTGCTGGGCGTCATGTACGTATGGTGCAGGTTGTAATCCAGTACGATTAGGTGTAGTCATTGTGGCTGAGTAGGATTAGTTGAGTACATGTCCTGTCCGAGTACTAGTATTGTCTAAGTCGGTTTAGGTTTCTCTGGCCAGGTGTGTATATATACGTGACAATAGCCACGAGATTTGTAACATCGCAGAGAAAAAAGGAGAAAAAGAAATAAAAAGAAAGAGAGGCACAACACATGCTTTTGGCAAAAGTTTTTGCGTCTGCGTGTTTATCGTGATTTGATGTGATTGATTCTGTGGGTAAAGTTTCAACAATTGGTATCTAGAATAAGTTCGATTTGAAGCCGCGCTTGCCAAGGGTGGCGACATACTAGTGCCTTGGGCGGGCCATGATGTTGCTGGGCGATGCAGCGAAGAGGAGGATCAGGCAATCGTCGTTCGGCGGAGCAACATGGAGGAAGGCGATAGGCTGTCGTCAACAAGGCGGCGGATGGAGATCGTTGACGGGAGCGATGGTGTTGTGGTGCGGTGCCGGAAGTTTGTCATGATCGTCGTCCATGGGAGTTCGATGAGTCAAGAGTCGTGCAGGATAGCACTGTCGTGTCAGTGAGTCATCGTCGTCATGTCCAAGTGCTTGTCTCTGTGAGAGGCGTTGAAGATGAAGCGCATCCAGGTCGTCTATGTGTCTCGACGAGAGGATCAAGTTCAAGTATGTGGGGACGGTAAACTAGTGAAGGCGAGTCTCTTCAATGAGGTCATGTCTCTACATGAGGCTGGAGTGCATGGTGTAGTGCACGGGGGTGGTGTGATCCACAAGCAATCGGCATGTATCTCGCTAGGGTGGATGGTGTAGTTCATCGGGTGATGTATTCCACAGGTTACTAGTGAGGCTCGATAGTCCAAGGCATATTTGAGGTGGTCCGTAAATTCACCAAGTCAAAATTAGGAAGAGACTGTTGGCAACAATCTAGCCGGCAATTTGACTTATTATGGTGCGAGCGGATGAGTCAACAAGGAGTTAATCATCAAGAAGTCAAGACCGAAGAAACACAGAAGACAAAGTGTCAAGATTAGGGAGAATTGTTAGAGATAGTGTTGTCTAGTTTTGCAAAGTAATTAGTACCGTAACAACGTATGTCCTGTTGTGCTGGGGGTCATGTACGTGTGGTGCAGGTTGTAATCCAGTACGATTAGGAGTAGTCATTGTGGCTGAGTTGGATTAGTTGAGTACGTGTCCTGTCCGAGTACTAGTATTGTCTAAGTTGGTTTAGGTTTCTCTGGCCAGGTGTGTACCAATCATGAGGGACTCTCGGTTGGAACTGTTGGTAATTTTCATATACCAATTATGCAATTCATACATTTTGGTTGGGAGGTTCTTGACCTCCTCGGGCTCGACTAAAGATTGGCCGCAGACATATTTTCGTTTTATTTCCTTCTCTCTAAGCAGAGACATGGGCTCGATCTCGAGGGGTTGTCCAATAGTGATACCGAGCATTTCAGCCTGCATTATATACTCCTCGGTTATTACCAGATTGCCCAGCTGGGGAACGGTTTGCCCACATATATATAGGGCGGCGGTACTCTCGTGTGTTGTTGGCACAACAAGCAGGAGGATCGCCCGCGCCGCCTGTTCTCCCAGCTGGGGAATGGTTTTCCCGCATTTTTTGCCAGCTGGTTGGCTCGAGCTCGAGCTTGACTCCTTTTGTAGTCTTTCTCGATGTGCCTTCCTGATTTGGCGCTCATAGTCTAAGTCAACAGGATTGGGAGCTAGTGGTCTAGCCATACGAATGAAATGGTCAATCTTTTCCTCAGGCACTTTCTTACTTGGCGGCGGTGCCGGTTTCGGTCCAAAATGGGCGTCCATTTGGGCCTGCACTATGGCTGCGTTTTGCTCCTCGGTCATGTCGTAAGACCTCTGAGGAAGAGGAGCGAGGCTTGGACCATATTATATCGCTTGCCTCCGCCTGTACCTCCTGTACTACCTCGACTTGTAGCGCTACGCACCATATCTGCAGCGGCTCTCTTCTGCGATTGCTGAGGCGGCGGAAATGGCTGACGTGGCTGAGTTGAAGCAGGAGGAGTGGCCTGAAGCCGTGCCTGACTTGAAGGAGGAGGAGTGGCCTGTGAAGTGTACCTAAACTGAATAGAAGCAGTCCCCGCCCTTCCTCGTCGAGCCGGTGCCGACCGAAGAGGATTTCCATCGGATGATGTATCTCGTGATGATGTATCTCGAGCATGGCCCAGTACTATCCTCGCCTCCGTGAAATTGCGTGAACGTGGAGCCACCCTCGCCACCGTTTTTCTGCATCAAGGAGGAGCCGCCAACGTTCCCACACCATTGTGCCGCTGCGCAACCACAACGTCCAAATCGGAGGCCTCTTGTGAAGGAGGAGGTAAATGAGGTATCGTCGTCTTCACCATGATGGCCCCGGTGATGGAGGAGGAGCCCGACAACGCCGCCAACAGCACACTCGACCACATCCTCCACCACCTCGGACGCGACGGCGGCTCATGATCCACACACATGGACACATGGGCAGTCCAAAGGGCGGCAGCACATCAATCGTGCTGGGATCTCCGAAACGCGGCTATACGCGGCATTTGCACATCGGACGCAGCCACATACTGAGTCCAAACCTGCCTGATCCTCGCGTTGGCATGTGCCGAGCACCGGTCCAGGACTACCATGGAAACGTCCACCCGCTGATGGTGCCGCCTCGGCGACCAACTCGTCAAAATCAGCAGGGCAATGGGACGGAGAGGACAACGGTGGAGGTGCCGCCGACCAGGGAGGCCATGCATATGAGGTCACCGTCCGACAGCTCATTTGAACTTATCCATATGTAATGTATTGAAGTTTCTTAAATTTCGTCCTGTTTATTCAATTCGCGTTTGAACTGCGTGACCGCTCCATTAACCCTGTCTGCAGACGTTTTGATGGAGGTGGAGGTGTCTTTTTTGATGGAGGACGTTGGAGGTGGCTAAGGTCACATGCATGATACAGAAATACTCCTATATTGGTAGAGGAAAGAAAGGTAAGAACCCAGTTTTTCACCTCGGTCTGGATTCGGTGTCTTGCGGATTCGTCATTGGTAGCTCGAACCAAGAGGAAGAGCTTTCTCACACCAGGCTGAACCCTCAGTATCTTCTCCACGAGCACTATTGAGATAGTATCACACACCATAAAGTGACACTGCATGCAGATGCTGAAACAGAAATGCGTTTGATCGAGGGTTACCTTTTCCAAGGAACCCAGTTGATCCGGTGATGAGGATATTCTTGCCCCCGAAGTATGATGCGACACAACCAACATTCATTCCGCCGATCACCATCGGGTCCGTCTGCCGCAAGAGTTTGCGAGATTTATGACTCGTAGTTTAAGCCCACTTGTCGTAGGCTGTAGGTAGGTAGTACGATAGAGGTTTCACTGTTTGATCTCTTCGACGACCTGGCCGCATACTTATAGGGCTCTAGAGGGCGGATGGAGCACGCTAGCATTGATGGATAATCCCAACGAAAAGAGAAGCAAAGTTCGGTCACCTAAATATACCGTTGCATTAATTTTATTTTTGCGGTAGAAAAACGTTGCTTTCACTTATTGGTGCTAATTTAATATTCCTATGACAAGAGGAATATATTCTTCAAATCTCTCGCAAGTTTAAAATTTAGAGGTGTCTTGATTTTGGAAAGAATTACGGTCCTTACAAGGTCACATATGAAAATCCGTGTCGAAGGAGTGACACCATGGCGGAGGCATGATCAAGTCAGGAGACACCCCCCCCCCCCACACACACACACACAAATTTTTTTTTCCTCTGAAACAGTCAAACTTTATTCATTTGAAATAACAGTTATATCATTTATGAGCGAGGGTACAATTTCCTCTGAAGGCTCCTCAAACCATTCAAAGGTCTAGGAAAATCTAGTCAGGCTAGTGAGTTCATGAGAAACCTTATTTGCTTCTTTATTACAATGCTCGATCATACAAATGGAAAAAACACAAGCAAAATGATAACAGTCGTCAAACACCGCAAATCATCCTTCATTTTGCATGGTGTCCGTGTCTCCCAAATTGCCATAGTTGATAATGAGTCGACTGCATCACGCCCTTCGCGCAATGGACACACCGAATCTTTAGAGCCAAAGCATCAGCCGTCAAGACATCCACTCATACTAGTGCAGAACCGAAATGTATCACCGATTCGTAAGGGCCTTTAGTGCCGGTACTGCAACCGGTACTAAAGGGTGGGGACTAAAGGTCCCCCCTTTTGTACCGGTTCTGCACGAACCGCCGCTAAAGGGCCACCACGTGGCACGAGCCAGCACCGGGGGCGGGGAGACCTTTAGTTCCGGTTGGTAACACCAACCGTTTCCAAGCGGTACTAAAATGTTTGGGGGGTTTCGGTTTCATGATTTCTTTTTCCTTCAATTTTATGTTTTCCATTTAATTCTTTTTCGTTTGCTGGTATTTTACGATACTACATACTGTACACGTTATGCATATATACAAATAGAATTTCTCTTAAAACCGATCATATATACGTGCCTTCGGAGCACAGTGACAATTGGGAGTGGTTCATGGGGGCGGTAGCGGGTAATAGTATTCTCCTTTGGGATCTATGACCTGGTCAAGTAAAAATCCCGCTATTTCCTCTTAAAGTGCTTGTATGTGCTCTGTTGGTAGGAGTTGGTCCCGCACCTCTTTGAACTGTTAAGAAGGAGATTAATATGCATGTGTATTAGTTGTGTGACTAGATATCAATAATCATGTAAAATTTGTGAATGGTGTTCTGGCAAATGTACCCATTCCTGTCTATCAGATTTGCTCCTTACGGACGTCATCATGCGAATGCTCTCGAAAACGTAGTATGCACACACTTCAGTCCCCGGCGCCTGCTTCAGGGCCTTTACGAGAATAGAATTTAATTAGATAATAATTAATCAAGCATGATAATTAGTTAATGGTATTGAAACAAGAATTAATGAGATGGTAGCTAGCTAGTACTACTTAATTACTTACCCTGGGTCGATACCAAAACAGCTTTTGTCGCCATTTGCCTGGAGTCACCTCGATGAACTTTGCCCAAGCCCTGCCCGCCGGATTTTTTTTAATAAATGGGTTATTAAATATTTGATATCAGAAAATGACGAACTAAATATGCCGAGATATAGTTAATAATGACTGAAATTACCTGTCGATTATCCCCTTCACGATGGTGAAATCACTTTCTTTTTTAAGTAGTGAGTCCAGTACTTTAACTTTTCCTTCTTCAACTTTAATGTCTAACAAGATCCAGTGATAATTGCATGCGCACACGTTTGCATGTCTTAATTAAGCGGACATGTGCATAACACTAATCAACTACCCTAAATCCTATACACTTAATTATTAACATCTAGCTAGCTAGTAAGCAAAAACATAATATGTAGTACAAGACAGTGTGACTCACCGGAAGTTGTAAGGAAGTAGTATATCTTTATTGCTATTGAGGCGCTACAAGAACTCTAGCATTTTATTCTCTACATCTTGTTTATAATATTCATATGTCCATGTCTTTTCATTAATGGTATTTGGGTCAATGAACCCAATGCCATAGCGTCCAGCTTTTTTCATCTCATTAATTTTCATCCTGCATAATACCACAAAAAAGAATATAGTGAGGATAATTACAGGTAATGATCGATCAGTGAGCACTAAATCTAGCTTGAGACTTAAATTATGGAAAGAAATCACTTACAGACAATAGCAACTGACGAGAGATTTGTCGAGTGCATCTTGATTGAATAACTGAAATAGTTCTGAATACTCAACGGACAGAGCTAGCTTATGGAAGTAATGCTCTTCCTTGACCTTCACCATGAGGGACTCTCGGTTTGAACTCTTGGTAATTTTCATGTACCAATCATGCAATTCATACATTCTGGTTGGGAGGTTCTTGACCTACTCGGGCTCGACTAAAGGTTGGCCGCAGACATATTTCTGTTTTATTTCCTCCTCTCTAAGCGGAGACATGGGCTCGATCTTGAGGGGTTGTCCAATAGTGATACCGAGCATTTCAGCCTGCATTATATGCTCCTCGGTTATTACCAAATTGCCCAGCTGGGGAACGGTTTGCCCACATATATATAGGGCGGCGGTACTCTCATGTGTTGTTGGCACAACAAGCAGGGGGATCGCCCGCGCCGCCTGTTCTCCCAGCTGGGGAATGGTTTTCCCGCATTTTTTGCTAGCTGGTTGGCTCGAGCTCTAGCTTGACTCCTTCTGTAGTCTTTCTCGATGTGCCTTCCCGATTTGGCGCTCATAGTCTGAGTAAACAGGATTGGGAGCTAGTGGTCTAGCCATACGAATGAAGTGGCCAATCTTTTCCTCAGGCACTTTCTCCCTTGGCGGCGGTGCCGGTTTCGGTCCAAAATGGGCGTCCACTTGGGCCTGCACTATGGCTGCGTTTTGCTCCTCGGTCATGTCGTAAGACCTCTGAGGAAGAGGAGCGAGGCTTGGACCATATTATATCGCTTGCCTCCGCCTATACCTCCTGTACTACCTCGACTTGTAGCGCTACACACCATAGCTGCGGCAACTCTCTTCTGCGATTGCCGAGGCGGCGGAGACGGCTGACGTGGCTGAGTTGGAGCAGGAGGAGTGGCCTGAAGCCGTGCCTGACTTGGAGGAGGAGGAGTGGCTTGATGCGTTGGTGGATTTGAAGGAGCGGGAGTCTGATGATGCGGTGGCGGACTTCGAGGAGGAGTCTACTGACGTTGTGCCGGACTTGAAGGAGGAGGAGTGGACTGACGCTTTGCCAGACTTGTTGGAGGAGGAGTGGCCTGACGCTTTGCTGGACTTGGAGGAGGAGGAGGGGCCTGACACGGTGGCAGACTTGGAGGAGTGGGAGTGTGCTGACGCGGTGGCGGACTTCGAGGAGGAGTCAGCTGACACGGTGTCGGTGGCCTTGGAAAGATGATGCAATCCTTTCTCCATAGGATGATACGATGTTTGGCCTCTCCAAGTGTGTGCTCCTCGTCACCTCTAGGAATGTCAAGCTGTAGGCCCGATTATTGGTCCACCACTTCATAAACCTGGACACAAGCATAGACGGCTGGAATCGGGTTGCAATGAAAGGTTGTATCGGGGGAATTTGTATAAGCAATGGCGTCCACCACCTTCATGGATATGTTCTTCATTTTGAAGTGTAGCTCACAGTTAGTGCTCTCCATGATGTCATCCACAAGGTATCTATCCAGCAGTGCATCGCCCGGGGTGGAACCAACGCTGCTTCTCGGCATGGATGGGACGGTGCTATCCAATGCTGGATCATCTGCTAGCTGCTGCTGCTGCTGAGACCCCCTTTCCTGGCTAAGGGAGTCGATCTGCTCCTGCTGTCGCTGGAATTTGAGTGCCAAGTCCACGTGTGCTGATTCTAGGCCTTGAAGGCGTTCTGCTTCCTACTTCCTCTCCTCCTCCTCCAGCTTCCTCTTCTTCTCCTCCTCCATCTTCCTTCTTGCACCACTTCTGTAGTCGGCGTTCCAATCCGAAAAGCCCTCATACCACGGAACAACGCCCTTGCCTCGTGTTCTTCCTGGGTGTTCAGAATTTCCCAGGGCGCGCGTAAGCTCGTCGTTCTCTCTATTGGGTGTGAACAGCCCCGTTCGAGCATCTTCTATTGCTTGAAGTAACTTATCTTCGGCTCCTTTTAGACTTGCCTTCTTCGAAACCAGGCCTGTCTTTGGGTCCAACGCCCCCCATGCGCATAGAACCAAGTTCTACACCTGGGGGCCAGCTCCTAGTAACTGGATCGACCCCTGCATCCAGCATCTCTTGCTCAGACTTATCCCACTTAGGCATTGCCACCGCGTAGCCACCTGGTCCCAGCCTATGAAACTGTGTCTTTTTTGCGGCATTGGCCTTGTTTTTTCTCGACCGTTCCTTAGATAATTCTGATTCCTTGAATTTCACAAAAGCAGGCCAATGTTCTCTTTGCTTCTCCAGTGTTCCCTTGAGTTCTGGAGTCTTCCTTCCTCCATCGACGTAGTTGGCCCATACAGTTTTCTTGTGGGTGTTGAATGCAATTGCCATCTTCCTAAGAGCAGCGTCCTTGACTTTCTGCACATCTGCATCAGTGAAATGATCTGGTAGGGTGAAATGTTCCATAAGAGATTCCCAAAGCGTTTTTTGCTCTGTCGTCGACCCAACTAACATCTGGATGTTTATTTTTTGGCTCTTTCCATTCTTGAATGGAGATCGGGAGTTGGTCCTTCACAAGAACTCCGCACTGACGAATGAACTTGTTCGCAATGTTCTTAGGCGTGATTGGTTCGCCATTATATTTGATGGCAT